ATTAATTGTATGGACGATTGTCTACGCAGGGGAAGGGGGGGGGGGTCTAAAACCTCTAAAATCGGTCTACGTAGTTTATGAACAGCCTCTAACCTACGATTCTCCATACGAATGAGTAAAAGTGACTCACTTTCAGAATATTAAAGGAACTGATCTTCTAATTTCAAAAATTGAATCTTAATTTTAGGATTTATTAAACTAGGTTTCAAAAAATTATGAATGAATTGTTGATTTTGGAGTAAAATTTCTAAACCATTTATTTTGTTATTAAATAATAATATATTTATATTATTGAATGGAGCTGCAAAAATAGTCTAGTAGTCAAGGGGTAATCAACTCTGCACACTGTGCCGAAACACAGCATGGCACACTATTGGGCACTTCAGGACAAACGTTGACAAGTAGGATACAATCAACACAATATAAAACGGCATCACTGTCGAGAGTTGACGTTTTTCCAATCGTTGCTAAGGTTGACTTCTTTGTTGACTGCATTGGGCTTTACATTGGGTTCGGATTCCAAGGAAAAATGCTGTGAGTATTGCCTGCACCTGTACGATGAAACTAAGTTTATCTCATGAGATTCGTAGCGAAAATTCCATCGGCTCGTGGTTTTGTCCAGCTTCACGCCAACAGAGTTCTTCCACACCATGGCCGGTCGAGAGGGTCGATACGACAGTCAAGATGGCCAAAATGGGTTCCCTCCAGCAACGGTTCGTCAAATGCCTGTAAGATCGTCCAATACGACGGTACGGTGCGAAATGCAATCGGCTAACTGAATGGACAACAATCATTTGAACGACGACAATATTGTGCCAGCTGCGGAGGATTTTTGTTTTGATTTACAAGGTTGTTATGCAGACCGAACGATGAAGAAAAAGCCACATCATAGGGAGTGTGGGTGATAGGTTTTGTATTCCTTAGGTATCCTTCCCAGTCATTGGTTTCAATTGATCATTTTGTCAAGCTTCTGCATTCATGTTCCATCAGATGTCATAGCTGTTGTTTGCGGTGACATCTATCGGAAACTAGACACAATCTGTTTTCCTATAATTGTTCACAGAGGACATTGCAGTGCAAAACATGTCTGGTACCTCTATATATGCATTTAGATTATTATTCGAAGTCCCTCCTTTTTTACACATTCTGCACACAAAATAGCTCACCCCTCACAGAATTTCCCGACGAATTTTATGTATGGGGCGGGGCATAAAGTATCTTTTGCGCAGAATATGTAAAAAAGGAGGGACTTCAAATGTTAAAGCAAATGCATATATAGGGGTACCAGACATGTTTTGTAGTGTCAGGTACTCTATTTTGTAATCTGTGAAAGGGAAATCACAAATCGAGTGTCAACAAAATACATGGCATATTGAGAGATTGAGGTCGTTAGAGCAAATTTTCTCTCTCTAATTTGAATTTTTTGGCTCTCTGGGGACTGGTAGTAAAGCAGGTAAAATTGTATGGGGAAAAATCATTTTTAATTAATTGCTTGTTTAACAATAAATTCCGGCAAAAAACTGAACGACAAAGACCCTGATTAATTTCTTTAGGTTGTCGTTCACTTTTTTTCACCTGAATATGCACCGAAAGCGAATTATTCCCACTTCTCTCAATTTCTATATGGGGATTTTTATCACTTCCTACCAGCGGAACAGCGCCATCTCTGTGGAAAATGGTCGAACAAAATGATTAATTTCCGCGATAACATTGTAGTCACGGCGAATGAGAACAACCCAAATTTGAGTTTAGTTCACTCATAATCGCCAAAAGTGCAGGAACTCAGAGATGAGTAAAATTTGTCCCATGGTTTCCTGCGGAAAACCTAAAAAATCTGCCGGTAAATGATGAAATTGACGAAAATTTTATTCATTCTCGGAGTAGTACCAATAGACTGAGTGAATCCAATCTTTACTTTTCTCAAATTCGGGAATTTTTCCCTGGAAAATCCTGGAAAAAAACCTGGGAAAACATGAGGCAAATTTACTCATCGCTGAGTTCCTGCACTTTTGGCGATTATGAGTGAACTAAACTCAAATTTGGGTTGTTCTCATTCGCCGTGATGATATCAACTAGCAATGGGCGATACTGTATCAATATCGATAATATCGATACTTTTGAGTCGATATTACGATATTTTGTATCGATACTACAAAGTCCGATATTTCTGTGTATCGATACCTTTATCCCGATATTATATCGATACACCTGAATATTTTTTTAATCGATTCTCTAGATGCAAATTTCAACTTAATTTAATTCCAAATATCTTACTGTCATTGCCATTGTCATAGTCATTGAGCGGAATAATCAGATTGAAAATCATATGCTTTGACAAATACACTATAGTCTTTTTTTTTGCGTGGTTTTTTTTCTCGACTACGATACAACCTATCGACTTGATTCCAATCACATTATCCGTTTCAAGCTTTAGGTAATCGAATGACATACTTTAAAAAAAATCACAATTTTTGGTGTAAATACAGAAATGTTTAAAATATGTCCATATGGACCATAGCATGCTATAATTACGAATGGCATCACAATCCGATTTATAAAAAAATATTTAAGCATGTGAAAAATCAAAATCTCGGTCGTTTTTTTTACAGGCGACTCCAGTGTACATGACAGCAGATGTGTGGACAGACACTGGAAACAATAAGAGTTATTTGGGTATGATCTTACATTTCCTCGACGACGACCAAAAAGCTATGAAATCCATCGCTCTTGTCACACGCCCCTTAGAGGGTTATCATACTAAAGATCGATTGGTAAAGCAATTCAAAGCCAAATTCACGGAATGGGTTATCGAAAATAAGGTTTAAGTAACCGTGTATTTTATTTTAATTAGCGTTCTTGTTACCGATGGTAGCACAAATAAAATGTAATACAATAAACAATAAATTTGAAGCAGCAGAGAGGGTAGAGCAGTAACACACATTCACAAGTGAAGACACTACCAACGATGATCTACCGAGCTAGATTCAAGGCAGCAAACAAAGCCTGTGGGACATTCACGATCGTTTGGTAGCTAACCAAACTAGGTCGTGGAAAAAACGGCATCGATGAAACCCAACCAATCGAGCGGAATATCCGGAGAGCCTCAAAACTATTTACAACAGAGAGTCATTCCTAGATCATCTGATCCTCTTGAAGCTTGGAGTATCATTAAAAGCGAATATCCACACATCTTCTTGATCGCAATAGACTAAATATCAAGGATGGTAACATCTGTACCGTTTGAAAAACTGTTCTCCAGGACTGGCAGAACATGTGAAAACCAATTCAGACTCAACGCTACTAGAATGTTCAGTTTTCTGTTATATAATAACACATTTATTTACTTTTTATCCCCTGCCGTATTGTTTAGAAAAACGAAATTTCTCCAAAACCTGTATCGATACGGAAATATCGATAATATTGATACTTTTCACCCGATATTTTGAGCTTATCGATACATTCCAATTCGATATCTCGATACTCAAGTATCGATACTTTTCACAATATCGCCCATTGCTAATATCAACCCTCCCAACCATCAGGGTGGCCAGACCTACCGATTTATCGGTAGTCCTACCGATTTTCGGGGTGCCTACCGATTCACAGACGAAAGGTTCAAAACTACCGATTTTTCACTTTTCCTACCGAGAATCACAGATTTTTAGATTATAAATAGAAAAATTGATTTAGACACAGTTAAAGCAGAAGTTCTGAAGGACAGTGTATTGTTCTGGAGCACAGAGTCATCCCCCCCCCGCTCACAAAAGTTTCAAGTATCGGGAAAGCCTTCCCGCATAAACGCGAACCATAAATTGACCTTACCTTAAATGGTTAAAAATTGTTTATAATCCCTGCTAAACTTTAACTGAAATGGTTATGGAACTTTACATGAACGTTTAATGATAAAGTTTCAACCTTATGTATTATGGTTTTTTGGAACTGGACCTTACAAATAATGGGTTGTTAAGAACCATTACCGTTCCAAATTCTTGTTTTCTCCATACATTTTCGGAAAGAGAACTATATTAGAACCTTTTAACTTATGGTTTGATAACTTTAATGGTAATGGTTATGGTAGTCAGTAAGGTCCACGAATGGTTTTGTAACATCGATCAACTTTATGTGGAATATATCGCGAATTGGTTGCCTGTAATTTACTTATTACCAATTCACGATATATTCCACGTAAAGTTGAGCGATAATACAAAACCATTAATGGACCTTACTGACTACCATAACCATTACCATTAATGTTCTCAAATCATAAGTAAAAACGTTCTTATATAGTTCTCTTTCTGAAAATGTATGGAGAAAACAAGAATTTGGAATGGTAATGGTTCTTAACAACCCATTATTTGTAAGGTACAGTTCCAAAAAACCATAATACATAAGGTTGAAACTTTATCATTAAACGTTCATGTAAAGTTCCATAACCATTTCAGTTAAAGTTTAGCAGGGATTATAAACAATTTTTAACCATTTAAGGTAAGGTCAATTTATGGTTCGCGTTTATGCGGGTTCTTAAGTCGACCTACCGATAACTACCGATAAAAGTTTTGAGAAGCTACCGATAATGAAAAAAATAATCTGGCCACTCTGCCAACCATCATCCAGTTCTATGATCCACATGCCTCAATCCGCATGCACAAAAGAAAGGAAATTACCTCTTCCGTCTTATGTCGGTTTCGTTTTTGCGGTGTAGCTACACCGGTGCTACACTGCCGTACACCGAAATATGTTAGGGTGTAGATATAGGATGCACCTTTGTTTACAAATAAATGATGTTGAGTTGTCAAAGACTTGCGCTTATTCCTGCTTACACTACACCAGTGCTACACCGCAAAAACGAAAACGACATTAGTAAACTCGACAAATAATTCACTTTCCGTTCGACTTGGAACTAAAACTTTCATTATGGAACTGCTTTCCCTCCGTACCTAGTACCTACATTCTAACTGTTTGAAGTAACCAAGTTCTCTACATTCTCTTCTCCGTTTCAGTTTTTAGCCTAATTAGTCACAATGTCCCCCCGAAGGAGAACCAGTGGCAGTAGTAGCAGAAGTAGAAACAGTCCGAACCGACGGTATTCCGTCGTTCTGACGGTGGCGCTTCCCCTGCTACTGACAACCGTCATCGGCGGAAGCTGGGCAATGACCAACAGTGTGTTCAAAGCGTTCAGCAAAGATCAAACGGTCACGTCGAGCACGCTGGGATGGGAAAAGTTCAACGGCGAGAAAACCCAACTGCAGTATGCGGTGCAAAGTTACAACCCGGCGGAGAATCCCCGCTCCAAGGAACTGGTGGACAGTGACCAGGTTAGTTGCACCCAACCCGTCGATTAATTAGTGTAATTGAATTTGTAGTAAACCATAGCCAAGCGGTGGTGGTAGCGCTTGGTAGCCATGACTTTAGCAACATTCAAAAGTCCGTTCCATGTGAAATTAAAGATTAGAAAAAAATAGATAAATTACAGAAACACCACGATTGTATCAAACTAACAAGCAGTGCATACGAAGAATTGAATCAAGCTTAAAAAATTATGACATTTGACAATATTTGATAATTTTCAAACGCTCAAATTTTTAACAATGTCATACATGCTTTCTGTAACTACTCATGGAATGACTTTGATCAACCCCATCTGGCTTATTTATTGTTATGTAACAGCAGCGTTATTATTAATTGAATCCAATATTCAACGCCGCGCCTTCCGCATACTGTACATTAGGGTGGGTCAACTTTATATGACGGATCACAACCGTCAGCTTTCCACAGCTTTTTCGATTCGTTCAGCAATTATGCAAAATTTGAATGAATTCGATTACGATCTGGATTTGAGGGAGAGCTTCAAAATGTGTATGGAAAACGGAACAAAACTATTCATTTGTTTGACAAAAAATGCAAAAGGACTCAACTTCGTAGAAGACCGCAAATCGGTTCGACTTCTGTGCAAAAATGTATTTTTTTTTGCCCTGGTGCTCCGCGCAAGCCTACACAGAGAAAAAAAAATTACCCAAAATTTAAGTTCTTTTTACTTAATTTTGGGTAATTTTGAGTTTTGCATCCCACTCTCACTTATTGTTGTTGTCAAAAACGGAACGAGAGATTCGACTTTCTCATGACTATCGTTCAATAAGCTACTAGTGAGTATATGAGATATTCTCAAATTTGAGTCAATTGAACTTAATTTTGGGTAGAAAATACATACGAGTAGGTAATTATTTTTGCCGTAGCCAAATGCAAACTACTATAAGCGGTTTACTGAAAATTAGCTTATTGAACGGAACATGGGAGATGAGAGAAAAGAACTTAATTTTGGGTAATTTTTCGGTTCCGTGTACAAGCTTATAATCACCCCAGTAGGTATGCGCGAAACACATGGACAAAATAAAAAATAATAACTTTTTGCACATAGGGGAAATGTTGGCTTTGGCAATACCTTAACCTATAATCGACAAAGTCCTAGAGCTCTCAAATTTGGCCAAAAGATGTTCTGAAACACAATGTCTCAAAAATTGAGCTCTCAAGGACGTTGTTTTACCCCCTGACGATAAAAGTATTACCGTCATTAACCCTAAGTCGAATTGATTTCCGCTCTTCAACGACTTTTACTTTTTTCAATGTAAATCCCAGTGAATTTTTGACAAGCAATTGAACAGTTTCGGACCGTTTCCCATACAAATTGTAAAACTCTCCCGCAAATCCACATCGTAACCAAATTCGTTCCAATTTGGCACTGTTGTTGTGGACCTCAATACGAACCCAGAGAGCTGTGGGGAAATAGGGGGTTGTTAAGTTGACCCACCCTACTGTACATATTGACTTATTAGTGCAATATATCTAATTCTAACCTTTCCCATTTTCACCGGAAACCCTCCCTCCCACACACACACACAGCTGAGCCACGCCAGCTACGTGTGCCGGATACAGATCGAGGGCATCTACTGTGCCGGTCAGACGCACATGGAGGACTCGTCCACCATCTGTACGGCGTCGCTGCAGTCGGACGTCCGGCGGCATCGAACGTTCGAGGTGCTGGTGAACCGAGGCGGCGGTGGAAAGCTCAAGTGGCAACCGTGGAACAAGTATCAGACGGAGAAGTTCCACGGTGCCGTCAGTTCCAGCATCGGAAAGGTAAGTGTTTATTGATTGGATTTCTTTTTTTGTTGCGCTCTGTTCTACTGTGAAGGTGGGGCATCTTATTTGCATATCGGTGGAAGGTGTGTTCGAGGTGGAGATTCGATACGATAAATGGATTGAAGGGCTATGAGTCTTGTTATCTCTTGGGGTGATACGGATAATGGAAAGGATCTGGGAAATGGCTTTCTTTCCAGAAAATATGATTCAGTAATTTAATTTTATTTGAATACTTGAAATGCTTCGAAAAGATTTTGAGATTTATTAGATTACATTGGAGATCTTCTCTTCTTATCTATTTACCTGTTGGCTAAAATGAACTGAACTTTGAGTGGGAGTTCAACCCGGATCCAGGAAATTAAACGGCAAACTCCGTCGTCCAGAAGAACGAAAGAGACGACAAATTCACATTGCTGCTTTCAATTACTTGCTTTGGTGTTATATTGGCATACATTGGAAACAAATCCATTTAAAGGGACAAAGTACGTGGGATTCATAGAATTTCTTGTGAACAGGATAAAATATGGCCCCTTGTCCGGATTATTGCATTTGAATAACCTTAAGCTTGAAAGATGCTGGAAATCCTTACAATCTATGTTTCTGACGGACGACTGATAAAATTCTAGACTTACTTTGGAATAGAGAGGGTCTAGTATCAATGATATTTATATAAGGTCTGGGCCAACAGGCAGCTTGCTGGTTTCGTCTAAAAAGATAAACATTGCAATATAATACGAACACCACTAACCATTTGCACATTTCACTAACACCAATAAGCCCTTTGGCCCAGACCTTATATAAACGTCATTGGTCTAGTATAAGAGAGAAGTGCGGACTGGTTGATTTTGAGCTAAGAGGAAGAGGAGACAACTGGCTTCTTACTCTTTTATCTCCATCTATATCTATCTCTATCTCTATCTTACGCACTTCCAATCGGCCAATAACGAGCTCGTTCGCGTTTGACAGAAAAGTGGTTCGTTTTCACCCCCGTATTGTCTTCTCTACCTATACATCTAGTTTTCACAGGAAATCCTATGTATGAGTGCTCATTGCAAGACAGCCTATATTACGTGATATAGGCTGTAATGTGAACGGGGTATTAGGTTTTGAGCCAAACGAACTGTCAAAGCCAGAGCCAATCGAGCAGCGCCTATTTTGATTGCATTGGCAACGCTGCTAGAAACCACCCATGAAACAGGCATAGGTTGCCAAGGCAGTTTGTTTTGAATCCGCTTCTCTCTTACTAGACCCGCTCTACTTTTTTTAAGGACCGTGGAATATTGTAGTTGCTACTCCGTTTCTGAGGGGCTGTTCGTATACTACGGGGGGTCAACAATCCCAAAAAAAAACTGCCTACGTAGTTAATGAACAGCCCCTGATCAGGACAAGTGGATCTGCACAGAGAACACCATAGATGGCGCTTGGGATTAGCTTATTCCATCTTTAATGCGCATGTTCACTAATTTAAGTTATTTGTAGATAAGAACCGGCGCCAGCCACGTCCACGCGGTCTTTTGGGAAGGGGAAGGATGATTAGTAGGACAATCGTTGTTAAGAGACCGTGTTTACCTCATGAAATGGATTATTAACATTTTGTAAATAACATTGGTTGCTGACTCTTCAACTTATATGGAAAAATAAATATATATATATAAAATAGTGAAATAGAGGAACAACAGAAATCAAAATGATTTAAAACAAGCTACAAACGAATAATCTAAACAAAACAAAGCTCAGCTGGCATGTTTCCGATAGGAGAAATCCATCCAGTTGAGATGTCCCGACGGTCGAAAGAAATTCCTGCTATAACAAGTGGTAGATTTTGGCTTCTTTTAAGAAGGTTACTACTTAGTGCTGCCGCGGCCGGAGTATCATTCCCGAGCAGATCCCTGATGCTGGAAGTTTGGCAGAGCGACTCCCGAAGATTTTGGAACTCCGGGCAGTTGCACAGGTCGTGTTCGACGGTGTAGGGTACCCCGCAGATGATGCAGCTTCTGCGGAACGACAGGCCACCATAGTTATAGTAGAGTTTGGTGTGCCCGGTCCGAAGCCGCGAAATCACGCTTTGATCCCTCAGGTTGTCCAGTTCGCTCCATGCTTCAGTTGACCCTTTGACTTTGCGGATGAAGGCAGTTCTGTTGCGGAAGCACTCGGCCTCCCATGCCGCTCGAATCGTCCGCATGATCCACCGTCTGACGTCCTGTAGGGGTACCTTGTCGGTGAGTCTAGGACCCGATGTCCCGGCTCCGGCAAGGTGATCAACATACTCGTTACCTGGCACTGCACAGTGTCCTGGAATCCATCTGTACACGGTGTTCGGTGGGGCGTACTTGATAATCGCCTGGATCCATGGGTGTTTTGGTGCTTCCGAGGTGATCGCTTGAACGACGCTGTGTGAGTCGGTTAAGATAAGTATCGGTTTGTTGGCTGGCGTCGTAGCGGCACGGAAGATCGCTGCAGCCTCGGTTGAGAAAAACGAGCACTGTGGAGGAAGACTGCTGCTTTCAGCAATACCGTCTCCTAAAATCCCGATACCTACTCCGCTTATCGATCGGGAGCCGTCGGTGTACCGGTGGAGGGGTCGGCATAGTTGGACCCAAGTAACTCGGCGACCGATCTGTGTAGAATTTCGGATGCATCCCCTGCTTTGAAGCGGTTCTTGATCCGATTGTCCAATTGGATTCGTGAAGAGTGCCAACTTTTCTCTCCATACCAATGGACTTTGGCCACTGGGGGAAGGTCGATGTCGGCGGCCGTGCGGAGGACTCTGTTCCCCAAGTAACAATTCAAGCTGAACAGTAAGAACAAAAGCTGAAAATTGGTTGATTTAAGGTGTACAAAGCTGATTAACAGCAGGCTGAATATATAGTTGATTAGTAGTGCATGAAGCTAATTGTATCCCCATAATTCAACCTCAAGTTAGCTGATCTAAAGATTGAACAAGCCTTAATTTAGCTTAACACTACTCCACAAATCAGCAATGCACTACACATATTTTGATAGCCTAATTGGTTAAATGTAGTCAGTGTCACTCGTTGCATTTCCGGCGTTTTAGTTCTTCTAAATTCACTGCCTACCGTTCTAATCTCAAGCAGCGGCAGAAGTAGAGACAAAGTAGAGGAGCTTTTTAGGAATAGCTCCAGGTAGAAGTGGGCTGCGACGACGTAGGAAGAATTATCATTTGTATTTCTGTGTTTTAATTGCTATATTGCACTAAATTTTCAAACAGCATTCCAAATATATAACGCAATTATGGCACTTAAATAGCTTCCACATGAACATCGAAATAAATCGGGCACTTGTGTCCACATTGTGTTAACTACACTTGAAAATGAGAGGAATGTTTTACTGTCACCAATTGTTGTTTACAATTCTGCATTGCTGTATAATACTCTTCCGGTTGCTGTTATTCAACTTAAATTTGACGTGTTTCAAGTTAATGATCATACCTTTTGCCACACATATGCCTAAGTGGTCCAGTAGGTATGATTGATGCCTGTGAAACAACGACTGCCGGTTCGAATCCCGAAATGCAAAGGTAATTTTTAGACTTAAAATTACAATACAAATATGTACATTCAATTAATCAGCACCTTGTTGCAGTCCCATAAAAAAATATATAAGATATGAAGCGGTCTTCCATTAGGGTTAACTACCCCATTTCCGGCCTATTAAGCACAACCCGCACTTAGTTTTTCTTAATCTAGCACAGTTTAGCACCAAACGGAATGTTATTATTATTGATGGCTTCCAAATTTATTTACCTTTCCGTACGTACCAAAACATTTGATAAAGAGAAACCCATCGTTGAGATATTGTCAAAAGTCTAACACTGCTTCTTGACGCCAAACTCGGTCTACGGATTCTAAACTCGGCCTAACACATTGAAACGCCATTGAAACGCCAATGAATTCACTTCGGGCTATCGAATAAGAATAAAAATTGATTCGGTCGGAGCGCTACTTTTGTTTTTGGGAATAATGGGTGCAAATATTCATATCACGCGTTCTCATTGACTTCGTTCGGAAGCTTATTTGCTAAAGTATCGTACCAAACACATAATTGACTTGTTAACTCTGAAATCTTGGATTTATTTTAAGTTTTCTGCTCGATAGGCCCAAAATGGGCGATTAGGCCGAAGTAGTTCTCTACCCTATTTTATTTTTTTCTAAATAAAACTAGAAGGCTGAACAAGGGTTGGAAAAGACTGTTGTTTAATGCCTTAAAAAGCTTATAATTTATATAACTGTTAAGCTTTCGGCTGATTAAAATCACCAGATTTAGATGCTTAAAAGCTGAACAAAGGGTAACGTGGTCTATATACAACAATTATTCAAACTAAGGCTGAACTAAAATCGATTGAACAACACTTGTGAAGCATCAAATTGTTACTTGGGTCCCCTCGTCGAGGAGAAAGATCCTATTGTTTCCGGAGGTCTTGGCGGAAAATGCGGCGGCTTTTGTGGCAATATTTGCGTTTAAGCAGAACCGGAAAGGAAGAGACCCGCTTCGATGCATGCGGCGTCTGCTGGAGTGGATGGCCGGAGAACAGATATGATGCGGATGTAGTTGTTGTAGACCGGTGCTAGGGTTCTAACCACCTTCTCTGAGGCGGTACAAGTAATTTCCGTCCCGTAAAGTCGATGATGGCTCGCGCAAACCCGGAACCGAACATCGCGGTTGTTGGATCGGTGAGGCCGAGAGACCGTTTTAACGAGGTTGAGTCTACTGCTGCAGTCCTTTTTGACCTGTTGGAAATGCTGGTGGAAGGAGAGCATTCGGTCGATCAGTAGGCCGAGGACGCGAACTGTTTTCCTGGTTGGAATGACTTGGTCGTGGATCGTAATTGGGGTGCTATTGACTCGGTGATGAGCCGGACATACGTGGCATCGGATGCTCTTTCTGGCGGACAGCTGGAAACCCATCGAGTCGGTCCATTTGACGACGGCAGAGACTGCCGCTTGCGCTTGCCGTAGGGTTCGGATCTGTGTGTGACC